TCCCCAAACTGCTGATAAACTTCAAGTTTCTCGACTCTGTAAACGGTGACCAATTAGATAATATCATTGGTTTCTTTCTGATGAAAGTTTGAATATCGAGGGTCAAGTCTGCGCCGTTCACAACATTGTTCGGTTGCTTGAGACATCTCGTAGAGAGTAAGCGTTCATTGAACAGAGCGGTGCTTTGTCCTATAGAAGCACAGTTCTATTATATGAGTGCACATTGATTCTGATCACTTATAACTTTGAAATTTCCTGTTCGCAGGCTGACGTAATATGTTTAGGTCGAGAAGTTTGGTGACTTGATTCTGAAGGCAACCGAGCCTCAAATGGTTCTTTTCAATCTATACGACGATTGGCTCAAGGTAAATGTTTTGTCTAATAAAACTGTTTGGTTCATTTGCAAACCTGATTTTAACTCTTTGCTCACCTTGTTTTTTGCGTAAAGGGTCGACTTCTTTCGCTTATCTCTGAACGTTGACTTGTCACACATAACATTTGACGTATTCGCCACCACTGCCATATGTGAAGTGAAAATTACAAATAAAGTTTGAAGGGAATAGGCTGCGTAGTCAGACAAAACTGGGAAAGGTTCGGAGTTACTCGCGAGCGAACAGCGCGCGCTGGTAGACGCGTAGTTGAGGTTACCGCACTAACACTGAACACTCCTGCTGACGCCATTATGACAGCGAGGGGAAGAGGAAGACTCTGCGAGGGTGAAGCCTCGCATCATTAGCTACAAGTGCACCGCCACCGTGCTTGTATCTGATCGTCACCTTCACTCTTTATGAAAAGAAGGATGATGGGCGCACGTGATACAAACCATGCCCATTTTCATTAGCGGTTGACAAAAAAAAACTCCAAACCTTCATGATTGCTTGGAATGGCAACATCAACTCCGATCCCTTGATCACAATGTTTGGGAAATCGAGAAGATGAACCTGCAACGAAGATTATTTATTAAGGGAAAGCGGATTCCTGCTACACCTATATGAACCACTCACCTCAAGAGGATCAAGCATAGCCTTTCGAGTTACAATGATTTGACGAGGTTGTTCTTCAACCGGTAATGATCTGATCAGAGCAGCGACTTCCTCTGCAGTCTTCCACTTGGCAAGCTGGAATCATTTCCGAATAGTTTTGAAGACGAAAACATTGAAAAAAAGATGGTATCAGGTTGTTGAGCACAATTTGAATTTGAGACGAAAATGTGTCAACGCTAAGTAGTGATCTCATAATGCCTTTTGTGTTCAAATATCCGTCAGAATCGGCGATTGTGAGAGCGACGGACAAGCGATGGGCTACCGCGATCGCCCATCGCTCGTCCGCCGCGCGATTGGCAAGCGACGGACGAGCGATGGGCTATCGCGATCGTCCATCGCCTTCACAATCGCCGAGTCGTATGTACATCTTAGCACATCACCAACAACCTGACTCCATTAGCGACTCTGTTCTATATTTATCGAAAGACATAAAAACAGGTGTGACGAAGAAGGCAGTTTAGCAATCTACAAAAAAAAACGCAAAGCATGAAAATTCATCACCTGACTGAGACGTTTCTGGCCTGCCCACACAGAAGTATGAATAATCTTCAAGAACAGCTGCCCAGTGCGGGGATTGAAGATAAAAATGGCACCATTAATAGGTTTCGTCGTCAAGTTACCTTCGAATGTTTTGTGAATGGTCACACGATATACGTTTGTGTCATCCACAAACCTGGAACAAATAGCTTAATCACGAATAGAGATCATTACAAAAAATTACTCATTGGCAGGTAATATCCAAAAACTCACCAAATAATCTGATTTGAGAACAATTCTCCATAGTTCTGACTAGTAAGATACGGTTCGGTTGGTTCTGAACTATACAACTGCAGCCCTTTCCGGATACGCTCACGCAGTACGTAAAAGGCTGGGTTAGCCTTGATGATCTTTGCCATGGCTTGCCGAATCAGGGGTTTCATTCCAGGGAACCAATTTCCATACGCACTGAATTGAGTTGTGATGGATTCGCACACAAAGTCAATAGTACTATTCACTATACTTTACACATCTAGTGAACCTTACCTATACAGGTTGTATGCAAGATCCATCGCAATGAGTAGACCTGTTGGGGAAGGATAAATGGACATGTTGTCGGTGGTGTAATCGAGGAATTTCGCCCTTAATTTTTCATACTTGTGGGCGAACACATTTTGTTTACTACACGCTCCTCAAGAAGCTCACCTTGCATATCTTTCAATGTCATGAGAGTCGTAGTCTCCCCAACGAAGCTGCACGTCAATCCAGTACTTCTGTGTAGTTGTACTGTCCATAACGTCTCTGAAGAATGTTTCATGACTCCAGACCGTACGACAACATTGAAACGAATTTCTAAATTCCACAACCCTTTACAAAAGAGAGATAGATCCTCACTTGCTGTCAGCCATCAACGACGGACGAGAAACGTTCCACTTATATTGGGCAAACAACTGGATGTCAGCACAAGAGCTGTTCATTTTGTAAGACTTTCTAGGATGAATTGTCTCCTTTTGCACCGTTTGAATCTCGAGTGCGTCCAATTCTTGATCGAAAACCTAAAATAGTGGATGCAGACTCGAATGTAAACTTTGATACGAAAGATGTCAAATTGTTGATAATGCTTGTCGTAATGCAAACATTTACTCTGGTCTCGCAACATTTATTACCTGGCACAAATCCATAACCACAGATTCATGAATTTTCTGCCACAAGTGAGCACGGAATATTTGTATGAGAGAAATCTTCAGCGTCGGAATCTTTCCGTGCATGAAAATGCCAGTGAGATCCAGCTGCACTTGGAAGCCAACGTAAACCTAAACCATAGAAATATGTTGCCAGCGTTCCCAGATTGCACTCACGTCAGAAAAGTGAACTCTGTTATTGACTCACATTTGCTCGATTGATTGTGGGAGACCACCACAATGTGAAACGACGATTAGGAATTTGATTCAAACCAGATCGTTGAGCATTAGTCAATTTCTTGAATTTCATTGACTCTTCGAAACCAGACGCTCGCTCCCAGAACAAACCTTCCCATGTTGGGAAGTAGGTACCCTAAACGATTGTATTATCCAGGATCGATAACGTGATTTTGGCGGCAACTCACTCTGAACAAAGTGTGCTCCAGAATTCCTTCAACACCACCCAAAGCTTGGATCATATCGGTACGGTAGTTATTCAAGTTCCACAATTTTCCATCGTGTCGCTGGTGAGTCCACCAGAAAGGGTTCTGCTTCAGAATCTGAAATCAGCAACTCTTGCATCAACCCATACATCACATCTAATCTGCGGTAGTGATAACTAGTGTCCAAAATGTCTCGTTACAAAAACCTAGCAGAGACAAGCTTTGGACGTTACAAG